TGTTAGGGTGGGGTGAGGGGTGAAGGGTAGTGATAGGGTGGGATGAGGGGTGAATGTTAAGGTGGGGTGAGGGGTGAGGGGTGAGTGTTAGAGTGAGGTGATGGGTGAATGTTAGGGTGGGGTGAGGGGTGAGGGGTGAGTGTTAGGGTGAGTTGAGGGGTGAGTGTTAGGGTGAGGTGAGGGGTGAGTGTTAGGGTGGGGTGAGGGGTGAGGGGTGAGTGTTAGATAGGGTGAGGTGAGGGGTGAGAACCCACCTTTGGGAATCTCTGGAAAGGATATTCCCCCTTTGGTGGAGAGAAGAGGGCGGGGCTGAACTGACCAGCGTACTCAATGGTCCAGTGTCGGTTCTTCTTCCTCAGCTCTGCGGGGTGTTTGGGTTCAATCCTCTGTGTCTGTCTTGCTGTCTTGCCACCTTGCTTGGGCGGGAGAAGTGTGTCAGTGACGTCACCGTCCCACAGGTCAGCAGGACTGGGCCAGGCCTGGGAGAGTTTCCCGCGTGTTTCCCGGGAGCCGTTGAGCCCCAGTCTCCGCCACAAAGCGCCCATCAAGTTCCCATACACTGAGCGCGCGCCCCATTCCTGTTGCTGCTTCCGACCAGTGGCTGACACAGAAGTCGGTTCCCTGCCTTCTGATATGTTCAATAAACTACCTGACGTCTTTGCTTGAGGGCTGGGGTTCAATTCGTCAACTGTAGCCTCGTCAGGTTTGCCAGACGACCAGTTGCTCCCCTGAGCCTCGTGGCTAGTGAAGGATCTGTGGGCTATATGACGGGACAAAACCGCCTCGCTCTCCCCAACATTGTGGATCACCGGCGCCCTCAACACTGACCTCTTTCCCACCATGACCCGACCTTGACCTAGTTCCCTCGGTGCCTGACCTTGACCTAATTCCACCCGATTCCGCCTGTACTTGGGGCTATAGGTATAGGAGATGTAGGTCACCAGCAGAACACAGGACCAGGCCAGGAACAAGCGGGTCAAGGTCGTCTTATCTCGCCACAGACTCGAACCCGGGACCTTGCGGATCAGTGACATCCCTGGTGCTCTCTGCATTCTCCACAGCCTGTGTGGGCAAGTGTGTGGGAGTGTGGGGGAGTGTTGGGGGTGTGTGGGGGTATGTGTGGGGAAGTGTGTGGGAATGTGTGGGAGTGTGTGGGAGTGTGTGGGAGTGTGTGGGAGTGTGTGGGAGTGTGTGAGAGTGTGTGGGACTGCTGTCCAAAGTTATCCTGTTTTCCTGTAGCAATGTAGCCGTTACCCCAGGGGTTGTGCTACAGGAGGGCTTGGCTCAGGTGAGAACATACCATGTAGCAGGAAGGATTTGGAACTAGAAATATCCCATGCAGTAACAGTTATCACACACACAGGTATCAGACAGGTATCACACAGGTATCACACAGGTATCACACAGGTGTCCCAAACACACAGATGTCACAGAGGTATCACACAGGTATCACACACACAGGTATCACAAGGATATCACACATGTATCACACACATATGTATCACACACACACACACACAGGTATCACACAGGTGCCACACAGGTGCCACAGAGGTATCACACAGGGGTCCCACACACACACAGGTACCACACAAGTATCATACAGGTATCACAGAGGTATCACACAGGTCTCACACACACAGGTATCATACAGGTGTCTCACAGGCATCACACAGGTATCACTCACAAAAGTATCACACAGGTATCAACAGATATCACAAAGGTGTCACACGGGTATCAAAAGGTATTGCACGGGTATAACACAGGTATCACACAGGTATCACACACACAGATACCACACGGGTATCACACATTTGACACACACACACACACACACACATATGTATCACACACACACACACACACACACACACACACACACACACACACACACATGTATCACACACAGGTGTCACACGGGTATCACACACACACAGGTATCACACAAGATATCACACGGGTATCAGACAGGTATCCCACAAGGGTATCACACACAG